TGAGAGGTAATCTCTGTAACTTGTAACGAAACTTATGGCATGTTTACTAATCCATAATTGGATTGGGATGAATTGAATTGAGGAAAAGTTGAATTGAGGAGAATTAGATTCCGGATTCCTATTGAAGTTGTTTACTAAACCATATGGAATTGGGGTAGGAGTGGTTCTAATTACTAAAATGTCCTCGTTGTTGGGTTAAAGTAGATGACAAATTTGGAATTTTAAAAATTGTGTGAGGATATAATGGGTAAAAAAGATGAATTCCTAATGGGTTAGTTCTCCAGGAATTAGAATACCACCTCCCACCCAAGAATTGAATTCCTCCAAAATCAGGAATTCAATTCCTAATTTTGTGTGGGCCACACTTACGTTTCAATTCCTTGATGTGAAGTAAACGCATGAATCCTTCAAATGTGGAATTCAATTCCTGATGAGAATTCTAATTCCTGATTAGTAAACACACCATTACAGTACAATGTCAGTTGTTGGTTCCTGCAATTTCTTGTGCTTTCTTTTTGGTATAATGTCAAATGGATAGAATTTTTTTTTTCCCACTTTTGCACATCTAGAAGGCCATGCACTGCGCTTGTCATTTTTTTATGTCACTTATCAAGTTGTTTTCCTTAATCCACAGGAATTTTATTTTCATCAAGAAAACATCCAAAAACAAAAGATCTAATGGTAAGTGCTTGTTAAAATAAAATGGGTGCATATTAATTGTATGCTTGTTATTTGATCTCCTTAACACCTATGTAGACATGTATTGAATTCCTTATTTAAAGGCCCCAAACTCATTTTTTTCAGCCAGAGGATTTCTGGATCAATGCACGGAAGAAAGGGATTGTAGTTTTTGCTCTACCAGGGGAGCCTGGTCTGGCTGAGTTAGTGGGGGATTTCAAAATCCATTTCCATGATAGTCAAGGAGATTTCTATTGGTCTGTACACCGATTCTTTATTTTACTCTTGTTTATGTTATGATTGAACTGTCCTTCACTGTTTTAATGAAGAATGTAGAGATCTGTAGCTTGTGCCATGCATTGTTTGAAGGAACCTGCTTAGTAACATCATTTATGATTTCTTTCATAATTATTCCCTTTGTTTTTTTTACTTTCAGCTGGTTAAATACAATAACAGATAACAGAAAAATCTTAACCGCAGATGACCTCGATGGTTTTGACAAGGTAAATGGTGTGACCTTATGACATATAATGTATATCAAATGTAGATCGTATCTCCCTTTTTCTACCATCTGTTTCTATTTCTTCTTGGTGCTTGCTGGTGAAAAGCTGTTGGTTGTGATTTGCAGAGAAAATTACCTTCTCCAGGATTTCAGGTTGAAGTTGTGATGATAGACTATGATGGTACATTACCTACAAAAGCTAAAGCAGATTCTTCCAGTAGAAAACCTGAGGGTAGCACAAGTGATGCCTCTGCTTCAAGTCATGGTGTTGCAGCTAATCCCAATCAAAATAAAACTCCTCAGCGTGAAGATGGTGATGATGTATTTTCAGATAGTGACAGAGAGGAGGCTGGGGATACAAAGCGCACACAAGCTCAAGGTAATTCTAGCACCGGACTTCCAGCACCTAATCATGTATCTAACACCAGAAGTGAGGATACCCCGAAGAGTAGTTCTTTGAAAAAACCAACTAGTGATGGAGCTGAAAAATCTCACCTGGTACATCACTCCCGCAAACTGAGCTCATCTGGGGCAGAGGATATTAGGGCAATAGCTGCCGATGCTTCAGTTTTCTCTTTCGGGGATGATGATTTTGATAGTGAATGAAGCAGGTTTGCTGTTGCTTGAAACTGTATAAGACACACCAATGTATAAAACATTCCATACGCATGATTTCATTGATTTTGGAAGGATCGTAGGAATCAGATGTTGGTTGATTGACTTCATTGTTTTCACCATAGGAATCAAATGTTAAGTTGGAATGATTGGTCATTTGTTATTACCTTCCAGTTTCTTTGGGCTGTCCCTAGTTGCCAATCAAATAGAAAATGAAGACAGAGAGGAGCAAATTTGAACAGGGGAAAGAGAAAACTGCTTGAGACGTGTTCACAAGTTATTCTTTTTCAAATTTAACAAAATCCACCAGTCAGTCGGTCATTCTTTGTTCAGCTAGAATTCATCCCAAGGGAATTTGCTAAATGTACCAGGCAGAATTGTTTGAAACTATTGTCAGGTGATAGAAATATCACAATGAGTATCATATATAATTCTAGCTAAACGAAGAAAACTGACTGGTGATAGAAACAGGTTATGCCTTCTTAATGAGCAAAAAGATTCAATATTTGAAAGAGCACCTCCATTCGTACCTGAACCAATTGAACTCAAATGGGAACACATTAACCATACATCTATTCCTTTTCTGTTTAGAATAAACAAACACATTATCACCAATAAAAAATTACATAAACCAGTTACATTCCCCCCAAAAAAAAAACATTCTGCATCATGGAAAAAATTCCCTTAGTCAGATGAAATGAAGCTGCCAACATAAAACTGGCATACTTTTCAATTAACGTCAGACAGGGAACCATAATGCAGAAAAAGACCTTCAAACTGTTCTTTTTGTGGCTGGATGGCATCTGCCCATCACACTAAAAGAGTTACAAGCTCGCCAAAAAATTCGCAATGTCATGCCTTCCAAAGCAGCGGATAATTTTAGAATAATTCAGGGCCACACTTAAAAGTCTACTTCCCTTTTTTCTTTCCCCCCTGGTATTTGGAAACAATCTTATTCAGTGTTGAGATTTCAAATTCCTTATTTTTAAGTTGCTGCTTCAATCCTTCAATCTCTTTTAAATTATCACAACACTGCTCTGACACCTTTTGTTGTTCTTGCTTCAATCTTTCTATCTCTTTAAGGTGGTCGCAGCACTGACTTAAGTCTGCCACCATCTCCTCTTCTATATTCTGATCTGTCTTTTGTTTCTTATGTACACCTGAGTTCTCTTCAACTTCTAAAGCTCTCTTAGAAGAGACTTGGGCACAGGAATCATCTTGTGCCATTTTACGAACGTATAAATCAGTAAATACACCCTTGCTGAGCTTAAATGAAATAAGCTTCTGTGGCCGCCCAGATGAGTCCTATAATAAGATAGATTAACAACATTATCTTTTTATAACCAACTAGATCATAGTGCCTTGATAGAAGATGAAGTTTCCTTGTAATGACAATTAACCTCATCACTTAAAAGAACACAAATGAAAATCAACTGCTAGTATACCCAGAAAATATACTTGCATGAAAAGAAAGGATGTACATAATAAAATATTATATACGTGATCAGCACTGTGAATGATATAAATATACACCTATGGTATGTACCTTTTCCTTGTTGCCTTGGACTTTTTCATATGCTTGATCTGCTTCTTGTGGATTCTTAAAGATAGCAAAGGCAGAATATTTATCTCCTTGAGCTTTAACAGATGGTTGCTGGAAATGATTAACTACATTAACTCCACAGTAAGAAGCAGGGAAAAAAGAGGAAGGTTGGAGAGAAAGAAAAACATGATACCGAGACTATTTTATCAAAATGCAAGCAGCCCAACTTAGTATCCTTCACATGATGTGTGGAGGTCTTTTGCATGTAGAACAGTAACGTAATACCTCCAAAGCACACTGAACCAATGTGATCTATAGAAAATTTAACAAATCAAGGGATATATATTGAACCTTGACTTCTATTGTATAGTTCCCAGGAATGGCGTTGTGCAATTCTTCACTAGGCACTGTGATTGGTATCCTGTGGAGAAGTAGCTTTGCCATATTAACTTCACGTACCTACAATTGAAAGAGTTATAGGACAATAATGGTGTACCTGGAATCACTTCCTTGGGGTTTAAAAGATAATGAAAAATTAAAAAACTCACATCATCCTGAACTGGGGGGATAATATCGCCAATTTCATGTTTTATCTTAGCAAGAACAAGTTTCATTGCAGCACAAGCATCATCTAGACAATTGTGTGGAGAACCTGGCTTCCGGACTTCATAACCCAATACAGACTGGAAAAAACAAAAAGATAAATGGAAAAATAAGTCAAGACTCAGGCATCTCAAACAGCCCAAATTCATGGTTGCTTTGATTTCGTTCTTGTGATTGTGATCCAAATCCTTAAAAACTTATCCTAAAAATAGCTCCCAAGTGAAATTATGCAATGCCAAAAAAAACCGAGATCAATCACAAGTTATCTATGCCACCATCCTAAACGGCCAAATTTAGAAAACATTTGCTACATTGCAACAAGTAAGAAAGTAAAGATCAAAAGATTTCTGGTCATTCCAAATTTAAAATGGACGAAGAAAAACTTGAGAATCAATTGCAGGATCATGCCATGGACACGTGGCAACTGAAAATCTTATCCAAAAATTTTATCCGAAAATGTTATCTGAAGTTTTAGGTGAGAATAAAATGGACGAAGAAAAACTGAGAATCAATTGCAGAATCATGCCATTGACAACTTAATAGATTTCACAGCGAGAACCATATGAAATTTGACTGAAATAAAAGTGAGATTAGCAAGTTTCGTAAAAAACTTGCCTTGCACAAATTATTCAAGGAAGGTTTTCTAAAAATAGGCCCATCCGAATATTTAAAGATATATGCAGTATCAATCACCCTTGCATGGTCTATCTTCAACGCTGTAAACAAAAGAATAATAAGAAGAAGAAAATTGAACAATAAAACAGAAATCAAAAGAACTGCAAAGTCATATTGCACAGAAACTAAAGGGAAAACAAAATTCAATGAGTTGATTATGCAATCAAAAAGGCTCAAGTATACTTATAGAAACATCAGTTTACTTACCTTGCAGGTCATTACACAAACTGTGTCCCACTAAAATAGTTTCACCTGATAACAACTTCTTCAAGCGTTTCTACAATATGCAACAAGAAGTTCGGGTATTTAAAAAATAAAATCTGTTCATAGTTGATCCCCTGAAACCAGATGATAAAAAAATCACTTGAAACCTATAAATAACATTAATACCTGTATATCAGCCAATGTACATGTAACTCTATCCAAATCTGATGCAGAAACTCCTGTAATCTCAGTTCTGTAATCAGCAACTTTTTTACGAGGGTTTACTAGTTCATCTAGCTTGACCTGAAAAGCCAGAGTCCAAATTTAAAGGGTTATAGAGAAGGGATTATGAAAAGGTCTAACTACAAATCAGGTATCTAGTCTAAGGAGGAGAGCAGCTATACCTGTAAATTTTCATCAACAACACACACTTTAACTAGAGCTTCAGAGCCATCTTCACATAGAACCATCTCACAATCAACAGCAACCATTCCATTTGAAATCGTCGCCTTGGACTTTTTACCGCGCTTAGAAATTACCCAGTCCTGCTTTGCCATTTACACAACAAACCAGATGACCAGGTAAAAACTTACATCCATTTGAAGAAATTAAGATGTCTAAAAAAGGATCATAGGCAAGTAGGAAACAGCATATTATGTGTAGGAAGTAAAAATGGAAGTTAAAGACATGCAGAAATGCAAGAAAAGATTTCACTGCAAGCATACACAAATTTATGTAACTTTAAAACAAAAAGTAAGCAGAGATACTGCCTGCAAACCTGTTCATGTGAAGGGAATGAATAATCCAATGGATATTGTGGGTGTTCGAGAGTTGAACGGACAAGACTCTGCAGAGCCACCACCACGACAAAATTAATACTATCTAACAAATTGTGCATATTGAAAATCAAATCGCAATTAACAATTATGGCCAATAACCAAAGTTACAGAAAAGAATACCTGCTCTGGGGATTCATTTTCTGGAAAAGTCTTTAACAATTGATCAACTGCTTGGCGATTTGAATGGCATTGGACAACTTTAGCCAAAACCTGGAATTAGGAAATGGGTAACAATCATCATCTGAATAAAGTATCATATCAAAAAGTGTAGAACTTAAAAGTTGAAACTCCCCATGCACACTCTGGACACAGTTGATTTACCTTCAAGTCATCCTCTTTATCAAATGTCTTTAAATACGCAGTCAATACATCGTTTGACCTCTTTCCGGGATCACTCAAGCTAGCCCCAAACTTCTTATCATAAATATTTAAGAACTGCTTCCAGTCTCCTTTATTACCCTTCATTCCCCGCTTTTGGGACAACTTCACAATTTCCACAAGGACCTATCCACCACACATTTTAAGAGTCAAACCAATTCACACAAAGCATCCAACTTTTCCCATTAATTTAAACAATATTGCAAATTGAAAACATATATAGAGAAACTAAATTAAACTTGAAAGTTGATAAATTGTTAGTTTGAATTTGTTTCTAATAGGGTTTTCTCGGCAACCAAACAAACATAAGTATACGCGAAACCAAGCGAACTGAGAAAAATTTATGAGCTAAAAGCTCGGCTAAGAGTTTGAGCCTGTAGTGAGATATAAAGACAAAGGAAGAACCTTTTTCTCTGCGGTGGCGATAAAAGCATCCATTGGAAGTTTTCTGGTGAAGGACCAAATGAGAGTCACGGTGCGAAGTTGGTGCGGCGGGCGGCTGATGGACAAACCGGTGACGAGGGTTTTCAGTTTTCCGTATAGGGTTTAAACTTTCGCATATATGATTTCTGAGATATTCAAGGGTGTTTTGGATATTTTCAGGGGATGGATTTTCATATTATTTTCCATTTTCTTTTGCCTTCTTCTTTTTCCCTTGGATTAGTTATAAAGCTGTAGACCCAAATCCACAGCGAAAAAGACGCGGACAAAACCCAAGACTAGAAATTTTGAACTTAAATCGAAGAAGTCCTAATAATTTTTTTTGATACAAACAAAAAAATATAGGCTTAAAGTGATCATTTAAAAAAAAAAAGATAAAACAGGAAAGTGGTAAGTTTCTTTCTGTCGATTGTTTTGGTGGTTTGCTTGTCTTTCTTGCTTTTAAAAGTTTGGGGTGGATGGATTACCTATTT